GCTTGGGGAAAATGGAAAGGGCAAGGAGAAGATGCAGTGGGGAGGATGAAGAAGAAGACCCGAAGGTGCGCGCATACGGTGAGTCGGGGGCTCGATTGGCCACAACGAGAACATGGATACCTCGCAAGCGGAGAAGGAGAGGGAAACGGCAAAGGAGAGGTAGAGCTGAGGACAGGGGAAAACAAGGAGACTAGGGAGAGAAGGGAGAAGGGAGGAGGGCCGAGGTGAGAGGAGGAGGCCGAGGGAAGGACAGAGGATGGAAGAGAGAGGGCCAGGAATATAAGAGGGAGGAGGGAGGAGATGAACGACGAGAGGGAAGGAGGCTTCTCGGGCCTCCTGGCGAGGCCTCCTCAGGAGAGGCCTGTTGTGATGTTCCGGGAGATACCTCCTGGGTCCCTTCTCTTGGACCTCTCCAGGAGAGGCTTCTTGCGCCTTTCCTGGGGAGGCCTCTTGAAGTGGTTTCTCGTACCTCCTGGAGAGGCTTCCTGGGCTTCTAGGAGGGGCCTCTCGGGCAGCTTGGAGAGTCCTCTCGGGCCTCTTGAGACCGACCACGAGGCATGCTCTGCTGATGGGGATCTGGGAGATGATGGGGATGAGGAACATGATGATGATGAGGAGGAGGAGGACGAGAAAAATAGGGAGGATGAGGATGGGGACCAGCAGGATCTGGAGGACGATGATTTAGATGAGGATGCGGGTGATGAGTCTGTGGATGACGATACAGATGAAGTTGAGGATAATGAGCGTCAGGACGAGGATGAGGATGATGATGGTGACGATGATGAGGATGCGGCTGAGGATTCGGCTCAAGGGTCCCCATCACTACTGTCTCGTATGGGCAATCAACCTGGGCCCGTCTAGGCAGACTAAGACATGATTGGTACACTTGGCTATCTGGGCCCGTCTTGATCCGTCTTGGCCGTCTGGGCATGTGTTGGCCGTCTTGGTCACCTGGGCCCTGTCTTGACCATCTGGGCCACCTTGGTCTTCTTGGCCGTCTGGGTCCGTTTGGCCTTCTGGGCCGTCAGGGCACGTCTTCGCACTCTGGGCCGTTTGGGCCGTCCTGGCTGTTTGGGCCGCCTTAGACTCCAGGACCGTTTCCGGTTAGTTTCTTCGCCGTCCTTGCAATTTGAATGCTTCTTTCCCCACGTGCAGAATCGTGTGGGGTGTGGGGGGATCGTGTTATCCCTCGGCACTCCCACCCAGTCCTGACCTCACACATCCCGCACTCATACACACTTACACATTGACGCACACAGACGCGCCCATAGCACTCACGCTCACAACTTCGCACACCCACACAGCCACTCGACCACCATCCTTCACTTAATGCCTCTCGAAGTAATCATACCAACATGATGCTGATCGGGTCGATCCCCAGGAGAGCATTGTCTCATACCTCCTGTGGTCGCACGAGGACACGCATCCAAATGTTCAGCTTTCCAAGGTTTCATATTTATATTTCTGTGAATTACGATTAAGACTGATACCTGGGATTAAACCATGCGGCCAGAAAGTCACTTCCCTCCGGGAAGAAAACTTGATTTCCGGAGGTTAAGCATGACTTCCCGAAATTGAACTCATCGCGCATGGCAGGGGCCCGCTCGCGCTCAGACTGGTGAGACATCTCAAGCAAAACGCTCGCTGTGGGAAGTAGGCGAGTGCCTCTTCAGAGCCTCATGACCACTGCGAGGTCGCAGGCATCACACTCGGTCCTCCCAAGGGGGGCGAACAAGGGAATATGGCACGGATGCGTTCGCGATCAGATGGGCGGGAACTCTCAGGTAGAACGCCCGTCTTGAACAGTAGACGAGCGTCTCTTCAAAACCCTGTGACCACCGCAGGATAACGAGGATCGCGCTCGGGCCTCCCAAAGATGGGCTGACTGACCCTACGCCTAAGCCCTGAGCCCTACGGCCGAACCTAAGACAGGAACACATCCCTCAAGAACATGAGGCACCCCGCCAGCCAGAACATCCCAAACCACGAGAGCACTCGACGAGACCCTCCCCCAGGATGCACGAGAGCACCCGACAGACACCACGGACGTCAAGGCGCCCTCCCCGACGACGACGACGACGACGACGACGACGACGACAACCACGACCACGACGACGACCACGACCACGACCACGACCACGACCACGACCACGACCACGACCACGACCACGACCACGACCACGACCACGACCACGACGACGACGACGACCACGACGACGACGACGACCACGACGACGACGACGACGAGGCCCTTCCTGAGGGCCACGCCGACGTGGGCTCGGGGCTCACCGCCGACCCGCCGACCCGCCGGAGCCCGGACCCCGGCCCGACCCGGGCCCCCCGGGAGCTCGCCCCCTCCCGCCCGCGAGCGGCCGCCGAGCCCGCCCGCGGAGAGCCCCCGCCCGCCAAGGACTCTCAGCGTCGCGCCTCGCGCTGCGCGAGGCGCGGAATGCGAATGACTTCGCGCTCTCGCGCCGCCTCTCGAGCCGCGGAGCGCGAAGCGCGGACAGCTTCGCGCCCTCGGGGGCGCCCTTGCCGACCCGACCCCCGCTGGGCCCCCCGCCCACCGCCGCCGCGCACGCGGCGGGGCGAGGGCCAGGGCGCCCGCGCGGACGCAGCGCGCCGAACTGCTGTGGAGCGGCGCAGATATCATGCAGAGACGGCGCGGTGGCACAAAACTCAGGGCACGAACAAGAAACAGCAACGAAGCATGTGGAACCTGGGCAGAAATCAAAAAAAAACATGCTCGAAAGCAAAGCAACAAACAACAACAACAACAACAACAACAACAACAACAACAACAACAACGACAACAACAACAACAACAACGACAACAACAACAACAACAACAACAACAACAACAACAACAGCAACAGCAACAGCAACAGCAACAGCAACAACAACAACAACAACATGAGACAGACATATATATACATGTACATGTATACAAATGAAACACACATACACACAAACACATACACACAATACCAGACGAACAAGCAAACCAACAAACAAGCAGGCACTGATACAATAACCAAAACACCACAGAAACAACACAACCAACTAGAAACGCGCCGCGCAAATCGCGCGAGACGAAAAAACACAGCAACGCACATCCCACGCGCAACGCAGCAGGAACGGGACAAGAACGCACGCAACGAGCGAGGTCAAGCGCAGACGATTCTTGGAGATGGGGCGGGGATGGGGCGGAGATGGGGCGGGGATGGGGCGCGCGCGTCTGGAAAGGCGACGCGACAGTGTGGGCCCGTCGCATCAGACACGAACGCACGAAAACGTTCAAAGCCTACGAGGACCACATGAATTCTAACAAAACAAATCAAAATAGCGCATAATCAGCCCAAAACAACCATTTACATTAACGATCCATTGAAATCAATGAAAATGAGCAACAAATCTTCACAACCAATGTCAATCATCAAAAACCGACCACATCAGCAATAATCACCCAGAGCATCATCACACAAAAACCAAAACCTGTTTTTGCAAATTCATACGATCCGTATCATACCCCCGCGCGGCGTGTTATTCCGCCGCTGGTGACACAACAGCGTGCCGCGTGCGCCCAAGTGCCAAGTGCCAACAGCCAAAGTGCCGAAAGGCCAAAAAGCGCCAAAGAAAGCCAAGTGCCAAGGAGTAATTGCGAGAGGGCCAAGTGCCAATGCCAGAGAAGTCCAAGGCGCGGGCATAGGGCCCACCGCAGCCCTGGTTTGCTGCCATACAGGCCGGGCGGCAGTGAATGGGGATGTGTATCATAGAAATACCCATATACACGAATCGGTATACGTCTGCACGCAGACACACTTTGTTGCACAATTACATACAAATAGGTGTATACGAACGACAATAAATATATAGAGAGAGATACTAATACATACGTGTATACAGTATACACCTATACAAAGATACACGTATTCGCATCTATGAATGTATACGGAGCAAGGGGAGAAGGCCGAGCGCCAAAATCCAAAGAAGAGCAACAATGTCAAAAAGCGCCAAAGAAAACCAAACGCCAAAGAGTGCCAACGATGTACCCCCCCCCGTGAGCGCCCGGCGACAGTTTCGCAGATCGCATCACCCTAAGACGGCGAAATTCTGGTGTGCGTATGACGTCACTCCGCTGGACGTCCCAAGAGCCCACGAAGGTGGCGACAGAAAGATTCCCGGTGGGGAAGCCGCCCGTCGGGCTCGCAAAAGCGATTTCGCCGGGGAGGTGGATTGCCTCTCGGACGGAGGCATCTTCGGTCAGAGGAGCACCTAAGTTGTCAATGGAGCACCTCAGTTACCAATGGAGCACCGAAGATCTCAATGAAGCACCGAAGTTCTCAATGGAGCACCTAAGTTCTCAATGGAGCACCTAAGTGATCAATGGAGTCGGGGACCTTCTGACCCGGGTCAATCCAGACCCGGGTCAGCAGGAAACCAAAAACTGCAATGCAGGAAAAAAAAGAACTGCAACGCAAACCCGGGTCAGCCAATACGCGCGGCCGCCTCGCGGCCACGAGCGGCTCCCTGACCCGGGTCAGCCAGAGGGGGCCTTTGCAGGATCCTGCAGGATCTGGCGCCCTGGCTGACCCCCGTTTGCATTGACCCCCGTCTCAAGGCTCCCGATGGAGCACCTATCAGTGGAGGCCGGCCAGAGGCACTTTCGAAGGTTGTCTGCCCTGTGCCTACGCACCGGACGGAGAAGGCGCAGCCCGCCTCGTCGCGTCGTGCGGGGGCAGGCGAGCTCAACCTCGCACGCCCCGTCGCAGCGCTCCGACCAACAGTCGCCCGCGACCGACGCCTGTTAGGCGCGGCGCTCGCTCTAGAGAAAACACATGGAGGGGAGGAGGAGGTGGAGGAGGAGGACGACGACGACCTGCTCAGGGCCTGGGCCAAGCCAGACGACGACGACGACGACGACGACGACGACGACGACGACGACGACGACGAGTCGGCGGCGTCTGCGACTGCGACGAGGACGACGCCGACGACAGGGCCTTCGCGGCTTCGGACGCCGCGTCCGCGAAGCCCGCGCCGAAGGCGTCGGAGGAGCCCGCCGGGGCCTGCGGCCGGCCCGGGTCCTCCTCGACCAGCGGGCCGAGCCCGGCGCGGTCCACTGCGCAGGGCGACGCGCCTTGCGGCGGGGCGGCCCGCCCAGAGGAAGAGGGGGGTCTGGTCCTTCGTGGGCCCTGGAAACGACAGGGCCGTTTTTTTTACCGGTTCCCTTGGGCGTTGCTTAATGGGGGGGTCACAAATGGGGGGGTCAGAAAAGGTCCCCTTTCGTGCCCCTTTCGGGCCCCTCCAGAGCCCCAGGGGGCTCGTTTAGGTACCGTTTGGGTACCTTTTCGGACCACCCGCGGGCTCCGGTTCCCATCCTGGAGCCGTGTTTTTGCCGTTTCCGGTCGCCGTGTTTTTTTTGTTCCGTTTTCCATTTTCAAGGGACATGTTTCTGGAAACGGTGAAAAAACGGCCCTGTCGTTTCCGGGGCCCACAAAGGGCAAGACGGTGCGGTGACCATCCCGCGTGCTGGGTCAGTGGGGATTCGGTGTCGGTGGTCGACGTTTGCGTTGGTTCCAGGGGGTTTGTCTCGCCTCGGGGTGTGTTCCAGCAGCTGCGCTTCCCCCATGTTCTCCCCCACCTCCCCTCTCTACTCCTGCTGCCCCTCCCTCCCCCCCCCCTCTCTCCCTCTCTCCTTCACTGCTCCTGCTCCTGCTCCTGCTCCTGCTCCCCCTCCTCGTACTCCTCCTCCCCCCCTATCCTCCTCCTCCGCCGCCTCTTCTTCTTCCTCCTCCTCCTCCTACTCCTCCTTTCTCCTTTCCCTCCCCCATCCCTCTCTTTATAAATAACAATCGGGGATCTTCTGACCCGGGTCAACCCAGACCAGGGTCAGCAGGAAACCAAAAACTGAAATGCAGGGAAAAAAAAAACTGCAACGCAGGTCTTCGCAAACCCGGGTCAGCCAATATGCCCGGCCGCCTCGAGGCCACGAGCAGCTCGCTGACCCGGGTCAGCCAGGGGGGGTCTTCGCAGGATCCTGCAGGATCCGGTGCCCTGGCTGACCCCCGTTTGCATTGACCCCGGTCTCAAGGCTCCCGAAACACCTCCCTGTCGCACCCCGAGACCGGTCGAAAGGGCGAGCCGGGCATTTCGGCCGAAACATCCTCACCATTAAAAAGATTGAAGCTTAACCATTGCCACAGGTTCACAAATGGGGGCCGGCCCGTTTTCTAAATGTGGCTCTCGCCTTAGCGCCGCGCGCACTCGTCTTAACAGTGTGCAACAGCTTCACGGATGAAGGGCGAAAAGTTTTCACACAGTGTGGATATGCCGTAGCGCGACTCACACTCGCGCATAAAATGTGCAAAAGCTTCACGGATGAAGGGCTGCCCATTTTCAACATGCGGTTCTCGCCTGAGCGCCGCGCACAGTTGTATTTAAAGCTGGCAAGAATTTCACGGATGGACGGTGGTTCCTTTTCTAAATGTGGCTCTCGCCTGCGCGCCGCGCGATCACATCTTAAGAGTTTGCGACAGTTTCAAGGGCATTCATGGCTAACGTCCAAGAAACTAAATTTTGGCACAATGTCAGAATGTCAGGACGCGACAGCTACGTTGATTCGCGGCGCTGAAGTCCACGGAATGGAATTCTGGTGCGGCTCAGGACCGTCAAGACGCAACAGTAACGGTGATTCGCGGCTTTGAAGTCCTAGGAGTGGCGTTCTGGCACAGCTGCGGATGTTCAAACAAGTGTCTTTCAACGGGGCAGCACCCTGAGTGAAAGTCAATCCTTGTAGGGGCCAGTGGGAAGGGAACTCGGAGGTCGGGTTTATTGAAATATCGTTGATGAGTCTTGGGTTGACACTAGTCCTCCTCCTCGTCCTTGCTCACTCGTTCTGTGTGGAGGCAGTTGGAATCCGTGGCAGACTCTGAAAAAAAGGAGGCAGAGAGCAGACGAAGAGGTCGCCCTCTTTGGGGCAGCCCATTCGGCGCAAGGCCATCGCGACAACAGGGGTCCCATCCAGCAACCACACCCAGGAGCACGGAGGGAGGCACCAGCATCACGGCAAGAAAGGCATCATCCCCCTCCTCCCCCTCCTCCCTCTCCTCCCCCTCCTCCTGCTGCTCCTCATCATCATCATTATCCTCCTCCTCCTCCTCCTCCTCCTCCTCCTCCTCCTCCTCCTCCTCCTCCTCCTCCTCCCCCCGATATTAGTATGATTACTGCTTCTTCATCAGCATCATCATCACCCCACAGCCTCTCCCCCCTTTTCCCCTCGCTTCTCAGGAGGAGGAGGAGGAGGAGGAGGAGGAGGAGGAGGAGGAGAGGAGGAGGAGGAGGGAGGAGGAGGAGGAGGAGGAGGAGGAGGAGGAGGCCTCCCGCCGCCGCTGCCGAGGCCAGAGGACGCCTTTTATCGGGGCGCTGAACGCCCGAGCAAGCTTCAGCGAAGGTGCACCGGCACAGATGATTGGGCAGCGGGCGGAGGCGAGCCAGACGGCCAGCTGCACGACACTGAGACGAGGGTACAAAATGACGCGCGAGGGAGGGAGGGTTGGGAGCGCAAACAATGAGACCTCAAATGGCCATGGAATGGCAAAGGAGTGTGCACTGATCCATGGCCCTGAAATGCGGCCTCTCATGCTGTGGCGTCTGGCAATCAACAACGAAGTAGTGAGCATGCCTCCCGCCGCCGCTGCCGAGGCCAGAGGACGCCTTTTATCGGGGCGCTGAACGCCCGAGCAAGCTTCAGCGAAGGTGCACCGGCACAGATGATTGGGCAGCGGGCGGAGGCGAGCCAGACGGCCAGCTGCACGACACTGAGACGAGGGTACAAAATGACGCAAACCTGCCAAACAATCCTTGGTCATCTCGATAAACTACTGAACCATTCACCGTTAAACAAAAAGACTGGACATTGTTATTGTCTTACAGCTGCCATGAGCGCGATCGAAACAGCGAGCGAGGGCCTCGCACAAAGCGGGGGGATACTGCTGAGCGGCTTTCGTTTTAAAGCCGCCTCCTTTGGCGAGGCCATGAATTGATGTGTGCTTTCTTCTGCTGCGAGAGCAAAGCTTGCCGTGGCACTCACGAGCCACGGGCTGCAGAGAGACGCGATCCCCTAAAATTCGGGTTGGCTTCTTCCATGGCGTCCCCCATTGGCACATGTCTGTGTACACGAGCTGGCTAGTACTCCAGGCAGCAGCTTTTTTGAGACGAGGCAGCAGCCAAAGACGTGACCGCGCAGGGTTCTCCAGCGCCACTGGGCGCTGGAGCCAGTGCATCAACTCAAAAATACTGCAACTGAAACGGGCGAGATTATTACCAATTCGAATGGCCTGCACATCGACAGGATGGGTGACCGCAGGAAGCCCCATCAGATGCTGGTCGGATCGGAGCCGCGATGGGAGCACTGGTCCAGCTTGACCCCGCTCCCGCAGCGGCCCTGTGTCCCTGGCCCTTGTCCACGTCTGGCAAGGCGTACCCATGAAGACTCCCCAGACCTGCCCGGCCAGGATCCAGCCTCTCACGAGCTTCTGGGCCTTCCGTGCTGACAGGTCCCACGCGGGCCCACGGCAGATGTCCCACTCGAGCACGACGAAGCCCCTCTCGCGAAGCGACCGCGAGAGCCCGCCATGCCCGCTGAACAACTCTAGAAAGACCTGCGGCTGGACCAGGCGGGCACCTCGGCAGGCCAAGGCGCGAGCGAAAGCCTCGCGAGGCAGATCGGCAGCCGCGCCGCTGCCTCGACTGCCCTCGCGCGGACGCCTAGGGGCCGCCGCTGCAGCTGCTCGCCCGCGTGCCCCTCCTTCTTGTCGAACTGCCCTGTCCTGCCGCTGATCTCCTCCTCGCTCGGGTGCAGCACGATCGCCCGGTTCGCCACGTGGGTCCCCGGCACGGGCGGCACGAGCATCTCGGCGATAAACCGCTGCAGCTCGCTGGGGCGGAAGCAGCAGTGGACGGTGGCGACCGTCCAGGCCGCCATCGCCCAGAAGCCGGTCAGCAGCATCTCCAGCGCGATCAGCGCGACGACCTCCCAGGGCAGCGGCAGCCGCGCCCGCCCAGAGGCGAGCCGCTTCCAGCCCTTCACGGCCTGCGCCGGGCGCGGAAGGGAGAGCCCTCCCGACCTTGCGAACTGCGTCCGGAAGTAGCTCACCGCCGCGAGCTCCTTTGTGCCCCCCTGCGCCAGCTCCCCGAACGAGATCTCCTGGTCCATCCAGCTCGCGACCACGAAGTCTGTCTCGTCGTCGCTTGGCGCCGACTGCAGGGAGCACACAGCACGCCACCGCAGCCACTCGCGGAAGATGTCCTGCCACAGACCGTCGTACTGGCCCACGGTCTTCGGCGCCACCGACGCCCGCTGCAGCAGCGACCCAGGGCCTCCGAGCGCTGCCCGACGAGCAGCCGCAGCCGCTCCCTGCTCGCGCCTCGCAGCTCGCGCCATCCTGCGGCTCCGGGCCGCGGGCGGGGGCAGCGTCCGCAGCACCTGGCGCGACTGGGCCGCGACTGCCCTCAGGTGCCGCCCCCTCCGCGGCTGGGGCCGCCCCGCCAGCGGACCGCCTCGCCGCTGGGCGCGCGGGCCGGCGGGCGCCCCGAAGCACGCCGACGGCAGGCTCGCGGACGGCCAGCTCGGCGAGCTCGAGGCCGGCGCTGCGGCAATCCGCCCGCTGGCTGCTGCGCCCGGCGTCCCGGACGGCCCACTGCTCGATGCCCTCGGCAGAGTCCGCCGCGCCGTTGTCGATCCAAACCCCGAGGGGGACGTGGCGGCGCGACGGAGCATCGGCGACGTTCCGCTCAGACGGAATCCAGCGCACCGAGGCCTGCACCGCACCCGCCAGGCACCAGGCACCCCATTGCCGGGCGACGCGGAGGACTCCCCCGGCTGAGGAGCGGCCCTTCTCCATAGCACACACGAGCCCCATGTTATCGCAAAGGAAGAGGATACGCTTACCGAAAGACTTCGAGTCGCGAAGTGCGTGCCTCAGAGAGTGAACGAGTGCCCGACCTTCAAGGACGATGATCTTCTCGGACCGGGCCCACCCTCCGCTCGAAACGACCTGCCACCTTCCCCCGTACAGTTTCTCCTCCACCTCCGGGACGTTCCACGAGTTACCCTCGGGATCCTCCACCGCCTCCTCCGGCGACACGACGTGCTCCACATTCGGCGACACGACGGAATCGGCGATCGGCTCGACCTTCGCGGTGTCGGCGGACGGCGGGTCGCTCTGCTCGAAGAGGCAGTCTCGAGGCCTAGAAGCAGTTCCTCGTCGGAATCGCCACCTCTCCCCGTATCTCCCAGCACCACGAATGGCTCCCAGGTCGGCCTCCTTCTGGCACACGCCCCCCCCCTCCTCGCTAGCGTCGCTCGCGTAGACCCTGGGGGACCAGGTAGCCCGGAGATCAGCCCAGGCGAGGGGGATCAGGGAGGCGGCCCAGCGAAGCTCACGGCGGACTGACGGCGGCAGCTTCATCACACGATCGAAGTACTTCCTCGAGAAAGCATACACAGAACTAAATACGGCCAAGAGCGGGCGCCTCGACATAGCAATGAAAGCGAAGTGCCCAGCAATCTCCCCTACTTGTCGTCCCGAAGCGTGCCCACGAGCAAGCAAACCCTGGATCCCAAGACGAAGCCTCCATGCACGACGGCTCTTGGGCCTCACAGCTCCACGCTCACCATCGAATACCCAACCCAGCTGTTCAGACACAGAGGCGGGAAGATCAGGATCGTGAAGAGGGAGCCCCGCGCTGCTCAAGGCCTCTTGGGCCGACCTCAGGAGGGCCGCGGGCCTATCAGGATCCACACCAAAAGAAATGAAATTGTCAACATAAGCAGTGTAGGCCCCGTCCTGGATGTGAGGTGCTGGCATACCGTCGACCAATTCAGGAACGCTATCGAAACCTCCCTTCTGGAGTAAGATATTTCTGTGCACTTTCTGGCAAAAATCCAGCGCGTGCGTCCAGCCCATGGGCAGGACGGCCAAGCACGGGCGCACCCAAGCGCGGCCCGGAACTGGGCGCCCGCCCAGCTCACGTACCCCGAGCTGTGCTGCCCGAAGCCGAGGGAGCGCAAAGAGGTGCCGGAGCTCCGGCGGCAGGCCCATGTTGTAGAAGGCGTCCGCGATATCGACCCCTGCCGTCCACAGCACCTCGCCCGGCGCAAGCTCGATGGAGCTGAAGCTGCCCCCCGAGGCCAGGCTGGTCTTGTCGGGCTCCGCGAACCTGAAGTTGCTGCCCCGGCAATCGATCACCAGGCGTTGGCGACCATCCTTCTTCCAAACGGTGAACAGTCCGACTTCCTCAAAATCGCCCTCATCGACCCTGAACTCCAGCATGCCACCGTCCCTCATCCTCTCGACGAATGCAAGGTAGGCCGCGGGCTGTCGCAGCACTGGATCCAGGTAAGGGCGTGCGAAGCCAGCCTCCTGCTTAAAAATCTCGGCGCTTTGAATTGGCAAAACCTTCGAAGTAATGAACCCTCGCACTATGTCTGGACCGTCGGCTCCCAACAGCTGGCTCAGGGGCACAGGCGCACCGCCCACAGCTGGAAGAGACACGAGGTCGTGCGCGAAGGGGGCCACCGTGACGGGCTCGCCGTCGGAGTAGCCAGCGCCGACCTGGAGCTCCTGAAGGGCCACCTCGGTCGACAAGTCTGGAGGAATGGAGCCCATCGCCGCGCAGCTGTCGGCGAGATGCTCCAAGCAAAGCTGCTGCATCCTGTTGGGCTCCTGGCCCGCGCAGCGAGGCGGGTCATCAGAGCCGGCATCCAGCTGGTTGAGCGCCACAACGAGCTCGGTCACGAGCTCCCCCTGCAGCGTCCTGTTGGCGCGGCGACGCCGCGCTGCGCGACCGCCGCTGCCGCCCGGAGCGGCCTGCGCGCGGCACCAGTCAGGGACTGGCAAGGGCAGGAGCGACCGCTGCATGTGGTCGTCACTTCCGCCCACCACCTCTTCTGCATCACCCCCGGGTCGAGGCAGTCCCGGGGGCGGACCCAGCATCATGACTCAGCGGGAGGAGCGTCCCGGCCGCCCTCGCTGGCCTTCTGCTCCTCCCTCAGTTTCCTCGCGTTCTTCTTGATGCTGTGGATCAGCTCCAGCTCATTTGACACCAAGTCGAGCAACTCAGGGCACACCATCGAGGGAGACCTCGAACCTCCCTTGAATGCGAAGGCCTCCTCCAGGGGCATCTTCATGTTGTGCTGCTGCTGCTGCTCCGCACACATGTCGTCCCAGTAGTGCTCGACGAGCCGGAGCTTCCTGTAGCCGAGCACCGCCCTCGCCAAGTTGTAGACGTCCAGGTGATCGGCCGAGCCCATGGTCTCGATCATCTTGGACAGGGTCTCGTGCATGTCTACCCTGAAGTCGGTCGGGTTCAGCCTCCGCTTTGACTTCCACATCTCTTGATGGAGGGCCAGGCCCCCCTTCTTCACCTGGAACTTGGCGCACCACTGCGCCGTCCTAGGCGGGGCCACGGCAAACCGCGGGACGGCCTCCTCGCGGCACAGCTGCACCACCTCGCGCCACTCCCGAGAACTGCCGCCAGATTGCCCGGCGTCGGGCGGGATCTCGAGCGTGCACGCGTCGCTCCCGCGGCACTCCTGCGTGAACCACGCGATCTCGCTGTCCCGCAGCAGCACCGCACTGGCTCCGCCGCCGCCGGCGAGCGCGAGAAGCCCGCGGCGCCCAGCGCGTCCCACGAGGGTCGCTCCGCCCGGAACCCCGACGGCCACCTCCGCGCCGAAGGACACGGAGCCGTCGACGTCCTCCGCGGCCACCCAGTGCCAGCCTGGCGCGGGCTCCCCGCTCGGATGCGGCGCGGCCGCCACGGTGTCTGGCTCCGCCGGCGCCCGACCCGCTGGCGCCGCGGCCGCCCCGGGGGCGAGCGCCACGGCGGCTGGGACCGCGGCTGCCGGCGCCGGCGTGGCCGCGGCCACCGGTGGGGCTGGCGGGGCCGCCCCAGGGAGTGCCAGCTCACCCGGGGCCGCTGGCGCGGGGCACCTCCCGGCCACGCCGACCAGCGGGGGGACCACGATCGACGGGTCCGCCAGCGATACGCTGCCCGCCGGCGCGCCCGCACAGTTCAACGCGGACAGCGTGAGGAGGAAAGGCCCGTCGGGCAGCGGTCCATACCCCGACGCGGCCCCGCGGCGGAGGGCGCTCCAGACCACGGCCGCCGTGAGCAGGCGGCAAAACCCGTAGACTCGGTTCGCCGGGACGACCCCAGCCCTGCCGCCCTGCCCGTGCACGAAATGGATCTCCATCACATCCGCGTCTGGATTCGTGGTCTCGCCGTAGTCGTCGTAGTCCGGGGTCATCTCGTACCCCGAACGATATACGTCCAGTCGCTCATGGTACAGAGCGGGGCCTCCTACGCGATACCTGGGCAGACGGAATCCTCCAGCCAGCGGCCCAGCAGCCATCCTCAATAGGCAGCGGCAACCGGCGACCTGCGGAAGACCTTCGCCTGCTCCAGCGCGAGGTACGCGAGGTCGCCACCCCCCGGCGAGCGGTCCACCTCCACTGGCGCCGCGATGGGCCCCGCTGGCGCCCTCGAGCGAGGTCGCCCGGCGCCGCCCAGCAGGAGCGAGAGGCTCGCCACCCAGGCCAGCTGAGCCCCGTGGCACCCCGGGATGGCCGCGGCTGCCAGGCCGGGTGCCCTCGCCGCTGGGGCACGTGCACTGCAGCGGAGGGCAGTGCAAGGCCGGACTGCACCGGCAGTCCGGGCAATCGGCCACCGAGGCCCGGACGACGAAGGCGGTGGTCAGCGCCTGCCCCACGTCGTGGAGCAGCCCCACCAGCCCGGCCTCCATCACCCGGCAAGGTCTCAGCGCAAACAATGAGACCTCAAATGGCCATGGAATGGCAAAGGAGTGTGCACTGATCCATGGCCCTGAAATGCGGCCTCTCATGCTGTGGCGTCTGGCAATCAACAACGAAGTAGTGAGCAGGAGGAGGGAGGAGGAGGAACAGGAGGAAGGGTGGGGGAAGGGTGGGGGAGGGAGGAAGCGGGAGGAAGCGGGAGGGAAGAGCGGGGGGCAGAGCGACCTCCAGACGAACCCCCCTGCGACTGCAGCGGGCGCCGACGTCGGGGCCCCGAGGCCGAGCGCCCCGATCTATCGGGGCAGAGTACCGAGGGGCAGCGCACCCCCGACGCCAAGAGGCCTCCCCCCTCGGGAGGCGCCGGCGCGCGCCGGGCCCGGGGGGGCCTCTGGGGCACCGCTCGGGCAGCTGCGGGGTGCCGGCAGCTGCGGGGAGCCTGGCTCGATGGGGGGGGGGGTCGCCCGCGCCGGGCGCCCAGCGAGGAGGGAGGGGGGAGGGAGGGAGGGGGGGGAAGAGGGGGGGAAGTGGGCGATGGGAGGAGGGGGGGGATGGGAGAGGAGGAACTCGGGTCCAGGATCGGCTCCAGGATCGGGATACGTCGCTCCAGAGTGCTCCTCCGGAAGGCCACGGCGCCCAACACATCCCGCAGAACCGCCGGATCTCCAAGATCCCCGAGTTATCCTGATCCAGCGTTGTCCTGTTCCTTGCCTCGCTGTACGGAGGGAAGGGGAAGGAGAGGGACGATAGGGAGGTGCATAGAAGTGGCAGGGACGGGCCGTCTGGACGGAACCTAACGACGAGAGGGGGAGGGGGGAACTAGAGGGATGTGGAAGGGGTTCTGGGATGTCTCGGGGGGCGGGGATTGCCGGGTTTCTGGGGTCAATGGGCATCTTGAGGGTGTTGGGAGGAGGGGGGAAGGAGGAGCAGATTGAGGAGTGAGCACCCCCTCATCCGCATATCCCAAACCTCTTCTCGTCACCACGCTCCTCCCTGAGGCCGGGCGGGCGGAACGACAGAAGGACGGAAGGACGAAGCAAGGATCAATCTGAGCAAGACCTGGCCGATGCCCGCCAACGTGCCGCAGGCAGTCTCATCACCAACATTGCAAGCGCTCTTCACTGGTCCCAGACCCCAAACCCCAAACTGACGGTTCGTCTGTACGATCTCACGCGCTCTGGGGGGTCGACGCGTGGTGTTGCCAGAGGCCTCGGCAGCGCGGCTCGGAATGCAAGCTATGCCCTACTTTTGACGACCCCCAGGGGCTGGGGCGTGTGGGGTGAGTGGGTGTGGCTGTGGGTGAGGGGGTGGTGGGTGGGTGGTGTGGGTGTGGGTGTGGCTATGGCTGTGGCTGTGGGCATGAATGTGGGTGCGGGTGGGCGGCGGCGGGGGGGGGATATGAGCCCCCGGGGGCCTAAGCTACCCTACTGAAGGCCCCTCCTGCTCCTCCTCATCCTCCTCCTCCTCCTCCTCCTCCTCCTCCTCCTCCTCCTCCTCCTCCTCCTCCTCCTCCTCCTCCTCCTCCTCCTCCTCCTCCTCCTCCTCCTCCTCCTCCTCCTCCTCCTCCTCCTCCTCCTCCACCTCCTCCTCCTCCCTCCTCCTCCTCCGCCTCCTCCTCCTCCTCCTCCTCCTCCTCCTCCTCCTCCTCCTCCCTCCTCCTCCTCCTCCTCCTCCTCCTCCTCCTCCTCCTCCTCCTCCTCCTCCTCCTCCTCCTCCTCCTCCGCCTCCTCCTCCTCCTCCTCCTCCTCCTCCTCCTCTTCTCTCCTCTTCCTCCTCCTCCTCCTCCTCCTCCTCCTCCTCCTCCTCCGCCTCCGCCTCCTCCTCCTCCTCCTCCTCCCTTCCTCCTCCTCCTCCTCCTCCTCCTCCTCCCTCCTCCTCCTCCTCCTCCTCCTCCTCCTCCCCCTCCTCCCTCCTCCCCCTCCTCCTCCTCCTGGCAGAAGAACTCCGAGGCCCATCAGCTTGATAGCATCGAGCCCCTCCCTGGTGGTCTCGAATGTCTTCGCTCACCACTCTGACGGAGGAGGAGGAGGAGAGGAGGAGGGGAGGAGGAGGAGGAGGAGGAAGGGAGGAGGAGAGAGAGAAGGAGGAGGAGAGAAGGAGAAGGAGGAGGAGGAGGAGGAGGAGGAGGAGGAGGAGGGCCTACTCAAGGCCCCAGGCTGGCCGACGGTAGGGCCCACTGAGGGCCCCAGGCTTCCCGAGGGCAGGGCCTGCCGAAGGCCCTAAGCCTTGCCAAGGGTAGGAGGGGATGGGGGGGCGGGAGGGGCGGCGGCGGGGGTGCGCGGGGAGGGGGGGGGGGGCTCCGCTCCCTGCGTCCGCCTGGACAGCCCACGCGCCAAGCACTCCCTCGCTGCCCGCCGACCGCTGGGCAGCGCCGGGGGCCCCCGGAGGCTCTCGCCGCGGCAGACACTCCGGGGATGGCGGACGAGGCTCTCTGCGTGCCCCTGCCTGGCGGGCGGGAACCCCCCCCCCGCGCCCACCCGAGGTTCGCGGGGGGCACGGGAGGCACAGAGGGACACTGGTATCGGGGGCGCGCAAACATGGATTAGCGATCCAGGGATTTGGCGCGCGGTCGCCAACTCCATGTATCGGGGGAGGTGCCCTCCCCAAAATGCGCCCGGTGCCGCCTCGCTCGGCGGCGGAAACCTGCGAGTTCCCTTGGAAACTGGACCCGTCGCTAATCCACGCCCCCTTAATCCATATTTGCGATCGCCTGATGGTACGACCCATCGGACGGAAGAAGTAGGTAGAAACATGAAGTAGGAAGACTTTGAAAGTAGACTGGGTTCCGTCCGCCCCCCCAGGGAGGACGGGAAAGGTGAAGCCGCTCGATCGTTGAAGTAAGAAGGCGCTTGAAGCAGATTGGAACCTGAGAATCCAAAAATACCCACTTTCAGTGACCGAGGGGAAATTAGATGCCCTCCTTGGAGGTGCGCGCCCGACCCGAACATCTAGCGCACACCCATCTTGGAGCAGATCGTTTTCCGAGCGGTGTAGCCGGCAAGGGCCCGCCTCAACGCACACACCAATTATAGAAGATTTCTCGGTGCGCCCGCGTCGCCCCTAGTGGAGCGACGCTCACGGAGCAGAAGTGTGCTGGGGGTGACGCCGAGTGCACGCTTCCAACAACAACAAAAATCGGTGGAGCACGGAGACGCCGAACCCCGTCGGGATGTGGAGAGCAGGGATGCCTCTGGGCCTAGAGACGGCTCCGCGCCCCCGCTCGGCGGGCGGGAACCCCTCCCGGCGCCACCCGAGGCTCGCGGGGGGGGAGGTTGCCAAAGATCGGTGGACCTGGAGAGCTCCCACGAGGCTCCCCAGGAGACCCCAAGGTTGCCCCCCCCAGAGGCCCCCGAGGCCCCATGAAGCATCCTTGAGGACTCGGGCCCACGTCGGCGTCGTCGTCGTCGCCGCCGCCACCGCCGCCGACGTCGTCGACGTCGTCGACGTCCCCCTTCAGGGTCGGCGGCACTGGCAGTAAGGCCTTCGCAATCGGGAGACCTGGAGAACTCCCAGGCGTGCGCATGTGGAGACCAGAGACGCCGAGCGTCCTCAGGATGCGAGAGAGGTATGCAGGCCCCTTGGGAGTCCAAGCCGTAACCCGCCGCAGGGCATGCTCAGGGGCTGGATCGCAGACGGCGGCTGCAGGGTAAGCATCGACTGGAGCGCGGGGCGATCCCAGAGATTCTTCCCCCACAATCGTCCAGCTCGCCCCCTACCCCCGCTTCTCCCGTGAGACAGTCGCATGGAGGCGCGGTGCGGCGGTGACGGCACCGTCAGACAATTGCCCCCACTGCAGCCGATATGCAAATCAATTCTCGAAACACTCCCCTGAGAGATCACCCCCAACCACGTCCCGCCGGCACATTCGACAGGCGTCTCGATGCTCGAAGTGACGCTGCACTATGCGACCCCATGGCGAGAACCAGCTACCTAAGAAACGCTGAACGGGGAACGAATAGGTTAGCCCCTCTTAAGCCTAAAGTGGCCCTTACGTCAGCGCCTGGCGACGACTTGCCCCGCGCGGTGCCGGCGGCCAAGCTGCCGCGTCGGCATCGACGGGGTCCCCGTGGGCTGCCGCATCGACGGCTGCGGGGTGCCGACCTGGCCGAGGCAGCACGGAGGGGGCAGGCGACGCAGTCAAAACCTGCTGTGGGATGCAATGTAATGATGCAGACCGCCGAGAGGGCACCATGAGGATCTGGCAAACATGCCGAGGATTGGCCGAGGAGGCAAGGATGCAGTGGCAGCCTTGATGAAGTACTCAATCCATTGCTGGTGAGGGCTGCACCCGAACGCCGTGGGAGGAGAAGAGGGGAAGGTGGAAGGCAGCGAGGGCGCGGGGAGAGGGTGTATGTATGGTGGACGGAAGAAAGGGAAATGGAGTGGAGAGGAAGTGGAAGGGGGAGATGGGGGAGGTAGGAGAGATGGGGAAGAGCGGGGAGGTGTTCGGGGAGAGGGGTGGGAAGATAGGGGAGTGGAAGGGGAAGATGGAGGGAAGATAGAGAGAAGAGAAAAATTCCATATCCAGCACCTGATTCTCACCCTCGCCTTCCCCACCACAATCATTACACACAAACATCCACTTATTCCTGTTATTCATCATCCGTCCGCTTCCCCTCCATACCCATCATCCTCCCTTCATCCTCCTCCTTCGACCCCCCCCCACATCATCCATCACTCCCCCCCCCCCCCTTTCTCATCCCGCCTCCTTCCTGGCCCATTCACCCCCGCATCGCCCACGCACCATCCATCCTCAGTCCTCGTCATCCCCGTCTTCGTCACAAACAGAACCATCCACATCGCCAGCGTACGCATCATCTGCATCAGCACCATGGTCGCCGCCCAAAAATGGTCATCCGCATGTTCACTTATCATCCCAGCCATCACGGCTACTGGTCCTCCGCAACCTTGTCCCCATCATCAACGTAAATGCATCATTCCCCCTCGCCCACTCGCGCACCTCATCCCAATAGTTCCAGGCACCCGCCAGGGTCCCCCATCAATCCGAAGAATCCCGATGAGTCATCGCATGCCACCATCCTTCTCATCACCGTCATCACCGTCCTCATTTTGCCCTCCAGCCGCCAACTCCCAGACCAAGCGCACTATCCCACCCATTCCATGATTGCCTTCATCCCACCTGTTCATGTCCCTCCTCCTCCTCCTCCTCATCAGTATCATCATCAGCTTCTTCGTCAGCGTCCTCACCATCATCATCAGCAACATCAAAACCAACAGCAGCATCATCATGGTCATCATCATCACCATCACCATCACCATCACCATCATCATCATCATCATCAGCACCATCAGCATCATCATCGTCATCAGCATCAGCATCAGCAGCAGCATCAACATCAGTATCATGATCATCATCATCATCACCAACAACAACATCAACATCATCAGCATCAGCATCGGCGTCATCACAAGCATCAGTGAAATCCGCATCACTATCATCATGACCTTTTCATTGTCATCGTCATCGTCCTCATCGTCATCATCATCGTCATCATCATCATAATCATCACCGACATCATCATCATCATCATCATCATCATCATCATCATCATCATCATCATCATCAGCAGCAGCATGGTCATCATCATCGTCATCATCATCATCACCACCACCACCATCATCAGCACCACCACCACCACCACCATCATCATCATCATCGTCATCATGATAATGATCATCAGCAGCAGCATCATCCAGCAGAACCAACACAACCATCATCGTCAACCGATTCATCATCACCATAACAAATCCGCCGACCCCTTGGGGTCACGGCGTGTGAGATGCTCCCCCCCTCCCCAAACCCCTCCCTCGGGGGCCTGGTCTGGCCGGTTTGGTGGACAAAGGTTCCCGGAACGGTCCAAGAGAGCTGCGAATCGACAAAAGATCGCCCCAAAACGCCGAAGATTGCCTCCACGCAGCTCCATCAGTCCCCAAGACGTTTGAAACAATATTACGGGGCGCCCCAAAGAGGCCCTCCAGAAGCAAGAATCGTCTCATTTCCCACGGAAAACGTACATTTCAACCACATTCGTCCATTCGGCTTCCACGCGGCGCAAAACGGCCCAAGAAGCCTCCAAGATCGACCCTCGCCAGCCCAAGAGGCTCCCAAAAAGGCTCCAAGACGGCGTCTGGGCGATCCACGAAGGCCCCAGAAACCACAGCAACGGCTCAGGGAAGCCGCAGGACGGTCCCAAGAGGGCTCCAAAACGGGGCAAGAAGGCCCCCAAAGGCTGTCTGGACGGCCCACGCGGGGGAAGATTCTGACCAAACCGCCCAAGATCGTCGCCAGACGGCCCCATGGGTGTCCAAGACGTTTGAAAACGCAACCACGAGGCGCTCCAAGAAGGCCTCCAAAAGCAAAAACCGCCCCATTCCCTAGGCAAAACGTACATTTTCACCACATTCGCTTCTTGGGCTTTCACGAAGCCCACAACGGCCCAATAAACCTCCAAGATCGACCCCTGTCACCCGAAGAGGCTCCCAAGAAGGCTCCAAGACGAATTCCAGGCGATCCACAAAGGCTCCAGAAACCATAGCAACGGCTCAGGAAAGCCGCAGGACTGTCCCAAGAGAGCTCCAAAACGGGCCAAGAGGGCTCCAAAAGGCTGTCCGGACGGCCCACGCGGGGGACGATTCGGTCCAAACCGCCCAAGATTGCCTCCAGACAGCCCCATGGGCGTCCAAGACTTTTGCATACGCGACCACGAGGCGCTCCAAGCAGGCCTCCAGAAGCAAACCTCTAAGATCGACCTCTGGCACCCCAAGAGACTCTCCAAAAGGCTCCGCGACGGCCTCCCCGCGCCCCACGAAGGCCCCAGAAACCGTAGCAACGGCCTGGGGGAACGGCAGGACGGTCCTAAGAAGGTTCCAAAACGTGTCTGGAGGGGCCTCACAGGCTGTCCGGACAGGCCACGCGGGGGACGCTTGCTGCCGCCCCAAGGGGTCGGCGGTGTGGCGTAAGCAAATGAATCATCGTCAACTCAGCATCATCATTAGCATCGTCATCATCATCATCATCATCATCATCATCATCATCATCATCATCAGCAGCAGCAGCAGCAGCAGCATCATCGCCATCGTCATCGTCAGCGTCGATAACAGCATTGGTCATCAGCACCATCAGCATATGCATCATCAGCATCATCAGAGTCGGCATCATGATCAGATGCATCATCATCAGAATCAGCATCATAGTCATCACCAACATCACATTCATCGTCGTCATCACAATCATCAACATCATCACCATCGTTACCACCCGTCATCTGTCCCCGTCTTGTTATCCACTTCGCGCACCTCCTCATTATGCATCCTTCCCCATCCACATTCCCTATTACATCTCCTTCCGACCCACCCACACAAAGTCCACCCTTATCATCTCATCATCCCCCAATTCAGTATCCTTGTTCGGTTTCAACCACCTCATACTCAGCTTCCCAGGGTTCCTCCCCATCCGCATCATCATCAGCATCAACATCATCATCATCATCATCATCATCATCATCATCATCATCAGCTGACTACGTGGTCATAACCAGACACTCCCAACCGTGAAAAATCGACTTCTCATGTTTTCGCATCCGCAAGGCGCGCCACGTCCAAGGGAACATTGGGCTTCGAGTGCCCGCTACCCGAACAGAAGTGCAGGCGCACTCTCATGTCCCATGTCGCAACCACGCAGGAGAGCAAACGTCGCCCACGTTGGTCCTGAGGGCCGCGGCACCAAACCGAAAGATTCTTCAACGCGGAGCCACCATATCTGAAATTCAGACCAGGGAGATCTGAAATTCGGACCGGGCCAATCTGAATTTCAGACCGGACCAATCTGAATTCTATACGCCTCGCGTAACCCCACCAGCCCATCCAGAAACGATGCCCAAAAGAATTGCCTCGATCAGTGAAGTGGGCAGGCAGCACACAGAGGAAGGGTCCCCCAGTGGAGTTTTCTTGGAGCGTCTTGGGGGCCTCTTGGCGGACCCGGACGCCTCCTAGAGCGTCTTGGGTGCCTCGGAGAGCTTCTTAGGGCCTCTTGGGGGTCTCTTGGGAGCCTCTTGGAGGCCTCTTGGGCGCCTGTTGGGGCCTCCCCCAAGATTGCCCCAGACTGGCCCAAGAAGGCCCCGAGAGAGTCCCCGAGAGAGCCCCAGAGAGTCCCCGAGAGACCCTTGAGAATAGCTCCAGATCGCCACCGCCGTCAACGTCGTCGTCGTCGGCCAAAGACGCTCCCGAGAAAGCCTGACGATTGCCAACAACGGCCCCAACACGACCCCCCCCCCCACACGAGACCCAAAGATACCCCCAAGAGCCCCCCCCGCCACATTAGAGAACGCATGGGTCGCCCTCCAGGGTCGGCGGCACTGGCCGTAAGGCCTTCGCAATCAATGATTTGGATCGCCGAGGCATCTTGGAGCGTCTTGGGTGCCTCTGGGGGGCCTCTTGGGGGTCTCTTGGGAGCCTCTTGGGGGCATCCTAGGGGCCCCCAAGAGGGGCCTCCTGGCCACCTCTTGGGGCCCTCCTGGGGCAGCCTTGGGAGCCTTGGGAGCGCTCTTGGGGCCATCTCGGAGGAGATCGATCAAACAAGAGGGGTTCCTTGATTAGCCCCCCCCCCCTCCAGGAGACCAAAATATAACCAAAACCTTAGTACAACCAATGATTTCGGCTTCCTCGCCGAGGCCGTTTTGGACGCTCCAACTACCCGCGGAACCCCCCGTTCAGGTCCCGGTGAGGGGGTAGGGGGAGGGGTGAAGACACCCTCTCCGCACGCAAGCCGTCTAGCTCACTCCCACCCGCCCTCCCACCACATAAGTGGCATCCGAGTCGCGGCATAGCCAGGGGTCGCCACTGGATGGACAGCCACTGGGAACCAAAGCTGACGCCAGGTGCGCGACGCTCGCCGCGGGCTCCAAATGCGGTTGGTGTGCCATCCTTGTGAAAAACGTGATGCCCCCCCGTCAGCATGGTCCAGATGCTGATGTGGGGGGCGTCCTCATTGTTCTGGGCCTGCGCACAGCAAGCATCATCATGCGGGCACCACCGCCGTCCCTCACAAAAAACAATACAAAGTGATCGCGGGTGGTCAGCACAATACCCACGACGTTGTCGCAACGTGCACTTTGCATTGTTTTTGACACGGATGGTGGTCCTGCACAAAGCGGCTTCACTAAGGGTGCCCCGCTATCCCTGTCAAAAAACAATACAACGTGCTCACAGGGCGCCAGCGCACTGTCCAGGTATTGCTGCAATGCGCATGTCGTATTAACAAGGATTGGGGAGGGCGATGACAGGGTGGGCCCCGCAATGCAAGGTGCATGTTGTATTGTTGTTTGACAGGGATGGTGGGGTGGGTGCCCGCATGGTTCCGGGCTGGCTGCCGGCCAGGTGGGGGAGGGGGTGTTTAGGGAGCAATGATAAACCCCTCCCCGAATGGGAAGAAGAAGGTTGAAAGAGGAAGCTCCCTAGACCACCTGCGCCCTAAAAGGCTGGTGGGACCGGTGGGATTTCAGACCGGGCCAATATGAATAACTTATGTGCAGAAGTCTCAGGGAGAACGCCTCGCCCGAGTCCCCGGGGGACTATCTGAATTTCAAACAGAGGCAGTCTGAATTTCCGACAGGGGCAATCTGAATTTCAGATGTGGGGAGCGCCGCCCACAACAAAAACGCGTAGAGATTCCCTCCGCGATCAACCTGGAGCAAAAATGCACTACCCCATCGCGACCGTGGCAGCGAACCGACACGTAAGTCACACGAGCTCGACAATCGCGCGCGTGCGCGTCGACAGCGCGCCGACGCGTCTGCGCAGCCTACGAAAATGCCAAACACCAAAATGAATTTGAATCATTTGATCTTGGGGGTGTCTGATGATCATGAGGTAGTGATCATCATCATCACCATCATCATCATCATCAACAACAACAACATCATCATCATCATCATCATCATCATCAGCAGCAGCAGCAGCATCAGCATCATCATCATCAGCATCATCATCATCATCATCATCATCATCACCACCATCATCATCATCATCATCATCAGCAGCAGCAGCAGCAGCATCATCATCATCATCATCATCATCATCATCATCAACATCGTCATCACCATCATCACCATCACCATCAACATCACCATCATCAGGATCACCATCACCATCACCATCACCATCATCATCATCATCATCGTCGTCATCAGCATCAGCATCATCATCATCATCATCATCAGAATCATCATCATAATCAGCATCACCATCACCATCACCATCATCAGCATCATAATCATGATCATCATCATGATCATCATCATCACCATCACAATCACCATCATCATCGTCATCATCATCAACATCACCACCATCATCATCATCAGCATCATCATCACCACCATCAGTATCATGATCATGATCATGATCAGCATCAGCATCATCATCATCAGCATCAGCATCAACATCAGCATCAGCATCAGCATCATCAGCATCATCATCAGCATCAGCATCAGCATCAGCATCAGCATCAGCATCATCATCATCATCATCATCATCATCATCATCATCATCATCCTCAGCCACACCACCATCAGCATGAATCGGCACCATAAGCCTCATCCCGGGTTCTTACGATTTAGCTTAAAGGGGGTCCCGGGTCAGCTCCCCCAGGGGTCCCAGGGCTCGCCAGCGGGGATCTCGAGGAGGCCCCGCCTGTGGTGGGAGGAGGAGGAGGAGGAGGAGGAGGAGCTCCTCCTCTCTCCTCCTCCTCCTCCTCCTCCTCCTCCTCCTCCTCCTCCTCCTCCTCCTCCTCCTCCTCCTCCTCCTCCCCGATACCTGTACAGCATGTAGGATTGCGTGTGCATGAGGTGGTCATCCGCTGTCCTGGGGTCTGGCAGTGCAAGACTTGTTTGGCCACGGCTCGGACCCCAGCCAGTTTGTTGAAACTCGTTGCGGGTACCAGTAATTATGCTAAGTGTGAGCCCACGGAGCAACAAAAGCTCCAGGCTCGCAATGATGTTGTATTGCAGCGTGCATTGCCTTACAGAAGTGATGCGGTCAACGTTGCGCTAGGTCTAGCGCAGGAGCTCAGCCCACCCGAAGACCCTGTCGTTCCTGGTCCTTCGGGGGCTCCGCAGCAGAGTGCAGACGACATCGTAGAGTTAGATGGCCACCGAATTCTATCGAATCTTGGTGCAATGGTTTGCACTTTGTGTGGGTCGTACCAGCTTAATGCTGGGCGTGCGGGGCACTCGAAGCTTGGAGGCTGCTGTCTGGGCCCTTCTCAGCACCCCCCCACACTGTATAAGCAGCGGCATGCCATTAAGGCCATCAAGGCGGGTAAGAACCCCAAGAATGGCCTGCCGATCAAACTGTTTTGATGAGTTTCCTTGGCCCGCTCTGTTTTCCGTCTCTTTTTCCCCTGGGAATCCACGGTAAACGAGCTGGGCCCACATGATTGGCCCATGCTCCCGTAGTTGGTTGCATGACAGGTCATCCGAGGCGTCCTCCTCCTCCTCCTCCTCCTCCTCCTTCTCCTCCTCCTCCTCCTCCTCCTCCTCCTCCTCCTCTGGTTCTCCTCTCCTCCTCCTGAGGAGCGAGGGGAAAAGGGGGAGAGGCTGTGGGGTGATGATGATGCTGATGAAGAAGCAGTAATCATACTAATATCAGGGGGAGGAGGAGGAGGAGGAGGAGGAGGAGGAGGAGGAGGAGGAGGAGGAGGAGAAGGAGGAGGAGGAGAAGGAGGAGGAGGAGGGGGGGTCCTGGGCTCCGAAGATCGCCCCACCCGGGGGTCCCAGCGGCCTGCGGGGGTCGCCCGCAGGGGCCCCTGGGAACATCCCGCTCGTGGGCGGGGAGGGGCGGCCCGGGTCAGAATACAGCCTCCCCGCCTGGGGCCCCAGCGGGTCCCCTGGGAAGGGGTGTCGCCGGCGGGAGGTCCCAGGTCCTGGGGGAGGGGGTCGCCAGCGGGGGTCTCGGTGCCCCGCAAGGGGTCCCGCCCGTGGTGGGGGGAGTGGCTTCGGGCTGGAATACCGCCACCCCCGGGGTCCCAGCGGGTCCCAGGGGGGGGCCCAGGGAGGAGATCCCGCCTTCATGCTCGGCGGCACTGGCCGTGAGGCCTTCGCAGTATCTCTGATACGAGAGATGCTTACGAGTCTACGGAAGGGGAGAGCTTCAAGATCGGGCGGGCGGGCGGGTTTGTTGCAGTCGCCCTCTCTACTCCTACCTCCTCCTTGCAGCTCCCCCCTTCCTGTACCTTCCTCCTCCCATGCATGCTCCTCCCCGCCTTTCGCGGGGATCGCAAAGAGGGGCCAGCGAATCAGCTCAGGTAGCTGACTTTCCTGACGCGGAGGCGACAAAGTATTCAGGAACGGGACTGGCGGCGGGGCCGAAACCAGCTGCATGAGCAGAATTCGACCCCAGGCCTGGGCTGGGACGGTAGTTTAGTTTCCCTCACGGTCCTTCTCGGGCATCCTCATTCCTCCCCACTGGTGAAGACCATCATAGGCCTTACCAGTGAGGACCACCATGAGGCGTCACATCCTCCGCAGCTCCCATCATCGCTGTGGGGGCGAATCCCCATGATCCTAGCACCGACGACAGACGTCGAGGACCATGACTTCGGTGACGACGACGACCACGACTGGGACTACCAATACGAGTTGGCGTAGCTGCACGACAGCGGGTGTGCACGTACGTGGGACCTTCTGCTGCCTCTCAGAGCGCTGCCTCGGGGGGATAGAAGCGAGGTGTTCGACGGGGGCCTGACGCCGCGAAGTGGCGGCGGGTGCGGCGTGACTCCCCGCCTGTGGACTGCCCGCTCCTTTTGAGAGTGGGTTCTCTCGTGCTTGGGCTTGGACGGGGGTTTTAGTTTCCCTCACGCCCCCCCACGGGTGAGGACCATAGGCCTTACCAGTGAGGACCGCCATGAGGACTCACACCCTCCGCAGCTCCCAAGGGCCGCGGGGGGGCAAATCCCCACGAAGCTGGCACTGTACGTGCAGTGCCAGGGGTGGCGGCCCGTCTTCCCATCCCACCATCATAGGAGGATGCGAAGTCACTGAAGAGGGGACGGGCTGGGCACAAGCGGGCTTTACAGCTAGCTCAAAATCAAAAGCTGCATCATAGCCTCATCGTTCATGTTATCATTGACTTCATTCCATGCGTAGCATGCTCACCCCGACGTCATAATTTTTCCACAACTTTGAACACTAAAGGTCTGGACCCCTTCCCCAGGACCGGTTTCTCAGCCCGAGTCGTTTTTGGACGGTCCCAAAGCCCTGCAAGGGCCCCCCAGAGGCCGAAAATGCAGAAGAACCTCCCGTCAAGGAGGAGGGAGGAGGAGGAGGAGGAAGAGGAAGAGGAGGAGGAAGAGGAGGAGGAAGAGGAGGAGGAGAAGGAGGACGACCCGACCTCTCCCCGCTCATCCCTTCGCACGTGCACGGCCCTCCCTCCTCCCGGCTCCTTCCCTCCTCCCCGGCCCTGCTCCTGCTGCGCACTGTGCCCGCTCCTGCTCCCTGCCTGCGCATGCGTCCTCCCGGACATCGCCCCTCCTCGCGTGCCTGCCCCCCCCGCGTACCCCCCCCCCCTCTCCTCCTCCTCCCTCTTCCCCGCTCTGTCCCTCCTCCCCGTTCCTCCCCATCCCTTCCCCCTGTTCCCCCCCACCTGGAGGGATGAAGGGGATGGGGAAGGGGCAGGGAAAAGGGATGGAAGAAAAGTGAAGTCCCAGAACAAGATCCACACATAACGAGGGGGAGAGAGAGGAGGGAAGCCTAGCCTAGAAGGAGGAGGAGGAGGAGGAGGGGAGGAAGGGGAGGGGTGTGGGGGCACGAAAAAGTGCCGCGCCTACCGTGGGCTGTCGCATCGCGGGCTGCGGGGTGCCAGCCGGGTGCCGCATAGGCATCTGCGGCGTGCCTGAACGGCGTGCGCACACCCACTGCATATCACCGGTTCCTTTCCTCGTCCAGCTCCTCCTCCTCCTCATCATCATCACCATCATCATCATCATCATCCTCATCATCATCATCATCAGCAGCAGCAGCAGCATCACCATCATCATCAACATCATCATCAGCATCATAATTAGCATCATCATCATCATCATCATCATCATCATCATCATCATCAGCATCATCATCATCAGCATCATCATCATCATCATCATCATCATCATCATCATCCTCCTCCTCCTCCTCCTCCTCCTCCTCCTCCTCCTCCTCCTCCTCCTCCTCCTCCTCCTCCTCATCATCATCATCATCATCATCATCATCATCATCATCATCATCATCATCATCATCATCATCATCATCATCATCATCATCAGCATCATCATCATCATCAGCATCAGCATCAGCATCAGCATCATCATCATCATCATCAGCATCGTCATCATCATCATCATCATCATCATCATCATCAGCATCAGCATCAGCATCAGCATCATAAGCATCATAAGCATCATAATTATCATCATCAACAGCATCATCATCACTATCATCAGTATCATCGCCATCATCATCATCCTCACCCTCATCCACATCCTCATCTTCATTTTCATCCCGATCCTTATCATCAGCATCATCATCACCATCATCATCATCATCATCAGCATAATCAGCATCATCACAATCGTCATCATCGTCGTCATCGTTTTCGTCAGCATCAGCATTAGCATCATCATCTGCATGATCAGCATCGTCATCGTCAGCAGCAGCATCATCTTCATCATCAGCATCATCGTCAGCAGCAACAACATCATCAGCATCATCACTAGCAACAGAAGCAGCTCCAGCATCATCATCAACAACGGCATACGCTACAGACCGCACAGTCAGCATAACCTGCATCATCATGGTAATCAGCATCATTATCATCATCGGCAGCATCATCAGCATCAGCATCATCATCGTCAGATTCATCAGCATCAGCATATGAGCATCAGCATCAGCAGCATCATCAGCATCAGCACTACAAGAAGCATAGTCAGCAGTAGCATCATCAGCAACATCATCCCCAGCATCATCATCAGCAGTAGCATCATCATCAGCATCACCAGCATCATCATCATCAGCATCGACGACGACATGACCACCACCACGACAACCATCATCATCAGCATCAACATGAGCATCAGCATCAGCATCATCATCCTCAGTAGCATCAGCATCATCAGCATCATCAGCATCAGCATCATCAGCGAAAACATCATCAGCCTCATCAGCATCATCAGCATCAGCATCAGCATCAGTATCAGTATCATCATCATCATCATCATCATCATCAGCAGCAGCAGCAGCAGCACTAGCATCATCAGCCACACCACCATCATCATCATCATCAACATCATCACCATTAGCCTCCCGCTGCTCCTTCTTGTCAAGATCCCGCTGCTCCTCCTTGTTCAGACCATCCTCCAACTCCCCCTCCTCCTGTACCTGCAATTCCATCTCCTCCACCTAATCCTATCTCACCGTCCTGCTCCTCCACGCAACCATCCTCCTCCTGCTCTTCGTTGTCCTCCCCGTCGGCCACTTCTCCCTCATCTCCATTATGCTGCTGCTGCTTCTCCTCATCCTCCTCGCCCTTAACAGAGTTGTCGTGTTCACGATGTAGGCTTACTATTAGTGGTAGCACGCCTCTGCCTAGTCTGACTCTTACCCGTATGGATCCGAACAATACTAACAGTGAGGCGATCGAGTTCTCCAACCTCAGTATCGTTATCGGCATAACCCTCTCGTGCGCCACTCGCCTTCACCAGTATCCGCATGTTTGTTTCTCATAAGCATCCGACTTGTCCTCCTCATCCTCCTCATCCGCCTTATCGCCCTCATCATCCCTCGTCCTCGTCCTCCTCCTCCACCTCTTTTTCAACCTTCTCCTGCTCATCCTCCTTCTGTTCCTCCTCCTGCACATGCTCCACCTTCAAAACGTCGCCATCAGCATCATCAGCATCATCAGAATCGCCATCATCATATCCCTGTTACTCCTCCGAAGTCTTCCTCCTCTTTCGAGCCACCCTCCTCCTGCTACCCCCCCCTCCGCCTCCTGATCCTCCAATTCCTCCTCAGCCGCAACATCCTCATATGCACATTGACTGCGTTTCGTGTGTTCATGTTCCTGGGACATCACCGTTGCGAAAGTGCGAGCGGTTCAGCACAACGCCCGCAAAAAGCGAACTCCCACGACAGCGGTTTCGAGGGGAAGGGCTGCCCCGAATGCGCCCCACTCCCTGCGGTCCCCTGGAAACCTGAAAATATCACTGTCGTGCGTGGTCTGGGCGGGATCTCGCTCCCCTGGTGTACTCGCATGCTTAAATTTCGATGCAGGAATCGCCCACACCACCGTGCCTGCCAATCCTGGCCGGGATGCAGATCCAGCACATTCGTTGCGTAGTGGCGTTCACTTGGGGCCGCGTTGGAAGCATCACTCGCGCGGTTCCACGGAAACTTGCGTTGCGGCGACTCCTGTTCGTACATGCGCAACTCCGCATCATTGCGGTCGCTGTGTTGTCGCCTTGTGGTCCAAAGCGACGCACCTGTTTTTACATGCGCAACGATGTATCGATGTTGCCGCTGTGTTGACGCCATGGGAATACACAACGACGCAGCCTGTTCGCGTATGCACAATTCCACATCCGTGTCGCCGTCTTGATGTCGTGTTGGGAATCAAGAGCGACGAACCTGTTCGCACATGCGCAATCCCGTATCCTGGTTGTCGTGTTGCTGGCGTCGTGGGGGGGCACAAAAGACGACGCATCGCCGTTAGGAAAATTCTGCGGAAATCTCCCACGTCGCCCGATTGTCCACAAAGCCAGCAAACGCGAGCTCCAGCGACAGCGGCCCCGAGGGGGCCGAGCGTTGACCCTCCCCAGCCCCCCTGGAAACCCTGGACCCACGCACTGCGTGGTCTGTGTGGGATCATGCTCCCGCGATACAATATGGAAGTTCTAATGCATCGTTAGCTCAGGGAGCCATATCCCATCGTTCAAACAGTAGACGCACACACACACACACACACACACACACGCACGCACGAAAAAATTCCTGTACATCAACAGCGGGTTGCAAATCCCGCAAGTTGATTGCGTATGGGCGGTGTCTTCGGGTCATATTGAGAGCAAATTTTGCGCGTTCGCCACGGGAAACTTCGAATGCACCCAAGAACGCTCTTCCTCGCCATCCTCCTGTCGTCGTCGCCGTCAACGTCATCATCATCATCATCATCATCATCATCATCATCATCATCATCATCATCATCAGCATCATCATCATCATCATCATCATCATCATCATCATCATCATCATCATCATCGTTTTAGTCACGGTCATGGTGGCCATCACTGTACTCATACTTGTCCTCCGCCTCCCCTCCCAACTCCCCTCCATCCCTCCACCCCTTTTCCTCTCCCATGCCTCCTCCAGGCCACCACCACCGCCACAATCACCACCGCGAACGTGCAGTCGTTCTTTCCTTGGTCCATCCCCATCGCTGGCATCAGTAATATCATGGTCCGCGGTATCGCACGCTGATTCCATTTGTTTCGTCAGCAGCCGCAGCATCATAATCGTCAGCAAGCATCATCATCCACGTCACCATGATCAGTATCATGATAAGCAGCCGCATCAGCATCAGCAGCAACAGCATGATCATCCTCCTCGTCGTCGGGACGGTCGCCGTCGTCGCCGACGCCGCCGCCCTCCCCCTCCCCTTTCACCCTCCCCTTCCCCGTCCCCCTCCACCCCCCCTCCTCTCCCTGGCCGCCTCCTCCTCCTCCTCCTCCTCCTCCTCCTCCTCCTCCTCCTCCTCCCCTTCCTCCTCCTCCTCCTCCTCCTCCTCCTCCTCCTCCTCCTCCTCCTCCTCCCTCCTCCTCCCCCTCCTCATCCTCCTCCTCCTCCTCCTCCTCCTCCTCCTCCTCCTCCTCCTCCTCCTCCTCCTCCTCCTCCTCCTCCTCCTCCTCCTCCTCCTCCTCCCCTGGCCTCCTCCTCCTCCTCCTCCTCCTTCTCCTCCTCTTTCCTCCTCCTCCTCCTCCTCCTCCTCCTCCTCCTCCTCCTCCTCCTCCTTCTCCTCCCTGTGTCTCCCAGGCTCTGCAGCTGGCTCCCTCCTCCCCTCCGCCTGCAGCACGGGCTCGCGCGGAGAGCGTGCCGCGAGGCAGGGGGGCCAACTGCCACTCCTGCCCTGCCCAAGGAGAGCCCAGGAGCGAATCGCCAAGTCGGATCAGCGATCGAACCGAAGATCGGATCGGCAGAAATCGGCAGCCGAGCCTGGAGGAGTCGAACCGGCGGAAATCGGCAGGCTAAAAGGCCTCCACGGAGAAGACCGGAATCCGAAGCGGAATCCCAGATCAGAAGCCACCAGAATCGGAGCCAGAATCGACCTCGGAATCGTACTCGGAGCCCACCGGCATCGAATCCGAGCGACGCCGGGGGCCTCGAATCGAGCCCTGCCTTGCCGCTGTCCGCGCGCGACCCGCGACGCGGCGGAGGGGAGGGAGTGAAGAGGGAGGGGGAGAGAGGAGGGAGGAGGGAGGGAGGGAGGGAGGGGAGGGAGGGAGGGAGGGAGGGAGGGAGGGAGGGAGGAGGGAGGATGGAGAGGAGGAGGAGGAAGAGGAGGAGGAGGAGGAGGGCCCCCTCGACCTCCGGAGTGCCCCGCCGCGACGGGCGCGGCGCCTCTGGCCAGCGCCGCGGTGGGGGACC